CCTTTCTTATGGAGAACATTTGTACATGTCACAGTGAAATGTTGTTGTTGAGGATTATACAATTAATGATGACTCAATTTCATTTGGCTGCTTGGGTTTCAGACTGCTAGTATTGTGCATGTGGCTCACTGTCGCTCATTGCTGGTTAAGTTGACTAGAATGCAGCCATTGTGTTATTAGACAAATCTAGACTGAATTATTAACCTAGAAAATAGGGCAAACACCCACTAGAGAGCCCTAGGTGTTAACAAAGTGTATGGTGGTATATGTGGGGAAAATAAAATAAAAGGAGAAAGCAGGATGTTTTAGCTATACAAAAAGTATTTTTAGAAAACAGGTTAAGATACTTATATAGGTTTGGATAAATTCAAGTTGTTCACATTTTGGCTCAGTCTAATTGCTCATAGTTGACCACAGGTCCATCCCACTTGAGGAATAGTAAATGGACTGCACTCGTAGGGTTAGGGTTAGAGCTTTTCACGTCTACTCAGTGCTTTTAAATATACATCAGCATTCACCCATTCACAGACACTCCTATAGAGTGGGGGAAACTAACATTCACAAACCCTTGGCTATACCATCGGCAGTCTTTTGGTTCACCTTGCCCAAGGATACTATGACATGTAAACTGCAGGGCTGGGGATAGAGCCACAGACCTTCCAATTGGTGGACGACCACACTTTAACCATGGAGACCTAAAAAATATAATATAATTAAAATGACCTGAGGAACGACCTCCTGGTTCCTACTGGCAGGCTCATGATTGACAGCTTCCTGAGCCTCTTGTTTACTCGGTAGGACAAGTGACACCTCTCTCATTCTAATTGGTAGATTTATGAGCTGATACATTACCACCACAGCTCAAGCCCACGCAAAAGCATTCACATAAAAAACTTTCGATTGGCAACCTGTATCGTTATTTACACATTAGTGATGCAATTCAAATGTAAAAAAATATTCCAAAACACGACCTTTAAATGAATTGCACAACAGTGTTGCTGTCATTCATTGAGAATAGAAAAACATTGAGAAGTTCCGAAGGCAGGAAATCACTTATTCACATTTCCAGTGCACCTCCCTGCTGTTCTTAATCCTCACCTGAATTCAACATTCAGTGACCAGCCAACCAAGAAAATGGGGTGAGTTTTCTCAAGTCTACCAATTACACACACACACACACACACACACACACACACACACACACACACACACACACACACACACACACACACACACACACACACACACACACACACACACACACACACACACACACACACACACAATTGCCATTGAATAGACAAAAGCCCTTCCTCTCGAGAGACTCTCCCAAACACACACACACATCTGTTTGAGCCTTTTAAGAAAAGGACAGAGGGCAAGAGGCAAATCATCACTTTTTTGCCGCAAAACACTTATTTCTTAAGTGGTTTTACGCACACAGATAAACACAAAAATGTGATAACCTTGAGGATCAATGCAACGCATAATTGTCGTCGACCTTCGTCTCGTAAGCGTCAATGTCCGAATCTATGTACCTATAATTATATGTGTGTGTTTGAGAATGTCCACCTCTAGTCATATCTGCACTTATCTAGCCTTCTCCTTTATGCTTGTAATTATAGCCGTAATGGTGGTAAAACACCCTATCCTTGGATCTGTGTTTGGAATGAGGCGTCCTCTCTTAAGTGCCATGTTGTTCACCCTCGGCTGAACAGCGACTGTGTAATTACAGCTTCTGTTATCTGTCTTTGTGGGTTTGTATGAATTTGTTCTTCTCTGTGTGTGTATGGTTTTGTGTGTGTGTGCATCTAAGCCCCCTCGACAAATCAGTCTTAATGCTGTCAGCCGTTCGGACTCGGCACCTTTATGCGGGGTGTTAAGTCAGTTTGTGGTCAGGAGGAGTTTCTAAATGACTAGCTTCCGGCTTAATGGCGCTAATTAGCTGTCACGTTAGCGAAGTGTTTCCTCTCTGTCTCATCTTATCAGCTGCTCAAGAGGGCAAGGAACACAGCGCTGAGTCTGTGATAACCTTGACATTCAATGTGACGCATTATAATTCTAGCTGACCTTGATTTACACATCTGTGAGTTAGTGAATGTCTCTGTGAAAGACTTCTCATACTGTTTCCCCCCCGCTGTTTGTCTTCAATATGCCGTTAGGCTACTGTGGCCAGTGTTGTGCATAAACGCTTGCTTTTTTGATTAACGCTCAAATGATCATATCCGTTTGTAACATAATCATACGTTTTTCAAATATTGTTTAAGGGACTGCATTTGTACGCTAGTATCACAGGCACACACCTGGTTTTTATGGTGACGTGATTTTAGACCAACTTTAATATTCATAGAACAGCTGTACAAGAGAGCTATCAAGGTGTTTGACAGAAAGCCATACTCATACCACCACTGTACCATCCTTGAAAAACACAATTTCTTGAGTTTTGACCATTTTAAGTCTTTTAAAAGTTTGTGCTTTATTTATAAATGTTTACATGGACTGGCCCCCCCTCCCTTAGGGGAATTCATCCACAGAAAACACACTGGACGCTGCACTAGGTCCGAAACCAGAGGAGACTGTGAAGTCCACTACAGACGGACCACCTTTGGACAAAATGTCCTCTCCATTAAAGGCAGCTCATTGTGGAATAGCCCCCCAACTGAGATACGGGATTGTCCCACTCTCAATAGTTTTAAAGGTCAACTTAAAGAATGCTTGAGCAACAAACAGACGTGTAATCACCGCTAAATAAATGCACTTTAACACAGGGGTATCTCCTCTTGCACTTTATGTAGCGCTTTTATCTTATCTTGCACTTTATATGTAGTAGCTGCTATATTGTATTACCATGTCATAAATGCTTGTATGCTATATTTTATTTTTGCTGTATATATATATAAATGTCATGTTCTTATATGCTGCATGTGACGGGACTACAGATGGAAATTAGCTCAAAGCTAAAATCCGGCTCATTTACACTTGTAAGCATTATTTTTGTTTTAAAGTGTTCATCAATGTGCACTACGGTAGCCCTGAAGAAAATTAAACATTCAAATATGTTATCGATGTCCCCATTCCCAGTTTGTTTTGGGAATAATTGCGATGTTTACTATGTTTTGGTAGCTCTTAACAAAACAGAATTTTTGTAAAAGACTGCGACTCTAAAAGGCAAGTTTGTGATTTTAACACTGTTTCGATGAAACAATACATTATACAATATTACGACTTTTTGCCATATTTTTAACACAATATACTTGTACCTTTTTTTTTTTTTGTGGTTGTTAGGGCTTCTAGATATTTAGCATGTCANACATGATTACATAAATGATTTGTTTGCAATTTATAGTTTTATTTTTGAAATTTATTTTATTTTGCTTGTCTCAGTTTTTTTTCACTTTTAAACTCATAGTTTTGCTTTATTCTGAGAAAGTGTTGCTTTATCTTTATGATACAAAACTAATCCCATAAACCACCAGCCGCCAGAGGGCCAAACCTCCTTCCTATAGTTTGACTAGCGACAGCCATTTTTCTTTCTTCAAAGAGAAGGGGGGAAAGAAAAAGGAGAAAAAGCAAAGAACTAAGGAGAAGAAAACTGCACAAGTGGTCCAAGAAGCTTGTGCAATCTGCCAGCATTTATATGGAGACAGAAAGAACCCCAAGTCCGCAGAGGAATAGCTTTCGTGTGCAGTCTGTGTCCAGTGGTTCCATGAAAGCTGTGCAGAGGATAATGGGGTTATGAACAATGATGGCTCCTTGACATGCAAGGACTGCTTGTTTCCAGACATGTAATGTTGTAAGCAATTGTTTTAGGCAGGTTCATGTTTGTGTGTGTTGTGTGGGTATGTGTTGCCTAATATACCTGTTAAAGGTGTATGTGTTCCCTGTGAAATACATTTGAAAGTTTTTAGATTTGAATAACATTAACTTTGCAATTCACAGCAGCATGTTGTTGTAAGCAATTGTTTTACTCAGCTTAGGTTTTATGTGTTGCCTCAATGTTTGATATGTTGCCTTCAAATACACCCGCAGTTGTATGTGTTCCCTGTGAAATACATTTCAATTATCTTTTACTTTAAACATAGATTTTAAACATTTTAACTTTGCAATTCATAGCTACTTAATGTCTTTGTAATAAATACATCAACACTATTAGAATATATTGTTTGTTTGATGATGTTTGATTCTCCATGTAAGATTCACACCTATAAGCCTAGATTTTGTAACAACAATAACATTATAAATAGTAAAATAGCTGAACATGGTATTGCACATTTAGCTTTGAATGTTACTGACGTGAGATGTTTTTATTACATGAAGGTGAAAGAGGCTTTTCAAAATAGACTGTTCACTGTCCCACATTTTGGACAGAACTGTCCCACATTAGGAAATGCAGATTGTCTGAGACAACTTGGCACTAAGAGACTGATATGTCTACCATTTCTTTTATGAGTGTGATATCTGCATTTTCTCTTTTGGTTTGATTAGGACACATCCTGGGGATTTCAGAATAGGCTACTGGGTGTGGATTTATTGGCTTCATATCGCAATATTCCAGAAGTCTGAAACGCAAAAATTGTCCCACAATAGGCTAAATCACCCAACCAAGAATATTGTTACCTTTTTTGTATCCTTCCTTCCTGATTACATACGTTACTCCCCAAGCCGGCATACACACATACGCACGTGCACACGCACTGCGGGTCGCACTCGCAGCATTGTCAATGAGTGTATACGTTTTGAGAAGATTATGCGACTGCGTCCTAAAGGTGGAGCGAAAATCATGAAGGTTTGTGCCGGAGGGGACGTGGGAATAATCCTTTGAGTTCTCGGGGAGAATGACAGAGAGATGGAAATGTCGATTGGCTCTCGGATTATTCGCATATTGTGAGGAGCTGATGGACGACGGACTGAGGGATATTTTCCCCCAAAGAATGGACGTTTGATCAACTTTATTGAATTGAAACATTTGTAACAGAGCTGCTCATCCTCAGGGAACAGAAATGGTGCACAAACTTCTGCTGCACATCGGTAAGTTTACAGCTGCACACGTTTCAAAACCTGTTAGTATAGGCTATATATGTGCATCATGTTGTGCCTCAAATACTTCAACACGATTGGTTGCGTGTTTTTGTATTATAACCTTTATATATACAGTCTATGGTTATAACCAGTGGTGTAAAGTAACTGAGTAGATCTACTCAAGTACTTTACTGAACTACAAGTTTGAGGTAATTTTACTTTACTTGAGTGTTTCAACATACTTGTACTTCTACCCCATTCAGAAGTTAATTGTGCACTTTTACTCCACAACATTTATGCATAGTTACTTTGCAGATTTTGCAAATTTTGATAAATAATGTGAAATAAAATCAACAAATCAAAAGCTATCCTGCAGTACAAAGTCATTATATTAGCTGCACATTTACCAGCTTTGATAACCACGTCAATAATTATAATCGAATCGCTATATAATATTCAGAAATGGGCCAATCTGCATACAGAGTACTTTCACTTTTGGTAGGCCTACTTTAAGTATTTTGATGCCAATACTTTTCTACTTTTACTTGAGTAACATTTTGATTGTAGGGCTTTTACTTGTAACAGAGTATTCCTACACTCTGGTGCTACTTAAGTCAGGGTATATGCAGGAATCCTGAAGTCAAATGTAATACCTTTTAAGAACTTTTTTTAAGACCCTTTCCATACATTTTAATACCTCACCGCCACTTGGAGTTTTAACCGGTTACATTGGCGACACTCTTTTCCTCACATTTACTATCCAGTATTGATTGTCCTTCCTCCTTATCTTCCAACCATTTGGACACAAACTTGCATTTCCCCATAAAGATGTTGTGTAACAACCGGCGTAAACGGACCTTCGTGCGCTACCAAGCAGTGAGCGTGCGATATACTGTTCAGATGACGTCAAATCCAACGGGATACCATAACTACACAGAATCACACTACACGGTCTACGCAATGATTACATTCAGGCAGACTGTAGAATACAGCCTCTTTGGACAATTGATATCCTTATTGAAAACAAGTTACAAATGTAATACCTTTGAAAATACCGTTTAATACTTTTGAATACTTTTTAATAGCCTTAATTTTTGCTAAATTGATTTATCAACTTTTAATACTTTTTAAGACCCCGCGGACACCGTGTACACGATCTGAGTTCTCCCACCTCTGGTTATAACTGCTCTGTTGTAAACACTTTGTATTTATAACAACTGGACATTTAAGTGCATTTCTGACACATTGCAACTTTATTTGTAATCTCTTGTTTTCTGACAGCTTTGGCAGCAAGTCTCCTCTCACATGAGCTTCCGGGGGCCTCAGCTACCAAAACAAAAACTCAAGGTATCACCCTGACACACCGATCGTTCTGTAGCCTACTATTCACCATTCAAAGGCCTATTTTCTGCTAAAGCTCCTTAAAGAAGAGAAGTGCGGAATAGAAATATGAAGTACATTTTTAAACATAAATATCTTAATTATATTTATTATAATGACTTAAAATGGAATTTGTGAGAAATTAAATACAATTTAATTAATCCGACAAAACAAACAATGTGTAGACATTCTGAACTCGTAATCGATATTCATTTATTATTTTCTCACAAGATACTTGTTCAGCAGAGTAATTTAACAGTGGTTTTAAGATTTTTGAAGGGTGAATTGAATTGCCTAAAAGTAAAAAAAAGTAAGGCTGAAAACAACTACACCACAGCCACATGACTTAACGCCACCACCACTTTGTAAGAGGTATGTAAAAACTTGTACAAATAAATACCCTGCGAGTGGATTCAAGTTCTAAGACAATCACGTGGGGGAAAGGGATGAATCTCTCATAGACTTTTATACAATCAGGTTACTCTTTGCAACCAGTGGAGGTTTGCCACTGGACTAAAATCCAGTTTACCATCAATTAAAAACCCCTATTGCACTACAAGATCTTTAAAAGAAGATCAATTATGACAAACTAGTGGTGTGCTAAACACTTTCTTCTGCCTGCTGTCTTTTCACTTCTTTCTTGTGTTTGCAGTGAAGAACAACTCGGGTGTGACACCAGCTGGGCAGTGTGGGACCTGGATAAAGGAGCCTGAGGGAGGGTATTTCACCTCACCCAACTACCCAGAGAAATACCCTCCTGAGAGAGAATGTGTCTATATTATTGAAGGTGAGGCTTCCATCTTTGTTTTTTAAGGCTTTTTAAGACATTTCCGACAGTCCCATCTTTATCTCACTTTTTCTCAACCCCTCTTCTTTCTCAAGCCTCTCCACGACAGTGCATCGACTTGTTTTTCGATGAGAAGTATTCAATCGAGCCATCCTGGGAGTGTAAATTCGACCACATCGAGGTACGGGATGGGCCATTCGTGTTCTCTCCAATCCTCGGGCGGTTCTGTGGGCCGGAAAGCCCTTCATATGTCCGCTCCAGTGGGAGGTACCTGTACATCAAGTTTGTGGCTGATGGGGAACTGGAGGCCATGGGTTTCTCTGCCCATTATAACTTCACACAAGGTGAGTGATGGGTGATAAGGTTAACAGAACTAACAGGAATGCACGCTTATACGTAAATTAAGTGTTGCCAGGTGAGGCCCATTTCGGCAAAAGTTTAGCATTGACACCTGTGGCACTTTATCTAAGTGTTCTTATTGAAATTAATGAGGGTGGATAGTACAAAGTGTTAATTTAAGTTTTGAAAAACTCTTTATATTGAGTCATTTCGTATATTCCCATAATGCTAGGGATGCAGTGGTTTTTGTGATTGATAGCAGTTAGCATGTGTTAGCATTAGGGCGTTAGCAAGCCCTTGTTCTGATCCCTTCACCAACTGTGTGTCTTAAACACTCTTTAATAGTTTGACGTGAGTATTTAAATGTTGACACTAAAATGTGAATCCCAACTAACAATCATGATGACTTAGCTAAGGTAAACTTATCTCGGCAAAAGCTCAATGCGTATATTTTCAGAAGAAAGTTAGCAAATGATAAACGCGAAAAATTACCCCCAAAAAGCCTTGTTGACGAGACGGGTCCATGTTCAACATCGATGGATTCCCCTAGCATGGAAGACAATCCGTCCAGGTTAACAGTCACACCGAATGGCCCCTCCCTCACAGGGATGCATTTTGGAAAACATCATAGTTTGGGTATGATTACTTTGTTAGGCTTAAAGGAGCTTCGTTTTCATGGTTATGAAGGACAACAGTGGTAATCTGTGCAGAATAACAGGATTTTCTCAAATGAATGTTTTTTCATGGGAGGACATCCTAGTCAGGTCACAGTGGAAAAAAGTGGAAAATAATTGATTATATTATTCTGTTTATTTATTTTGTTTGTCTGCTTTATTATTGTTTTTATATCATGCCAGCTGTCTGGCTGGCAGGGTTCATGTTTCGAGTATTAATACTGCTCTAAGCCTTCCACTCCTTATTTGGCGCGCTCTCCCGACCCTGCTATAATTTTAACGTTGTTGGCTGCAACCTCTTTGACACAGATCTTCCCTTTCAGTCCCATTAAAACAGACATTGACACCGATGGACACTGGACACTTAGCCTGTTATCATTAAATTGTATTAAAGGTTGTTGGATTTTTTTTTAATTGTGCGTAGATATTGCAACTTTAAAAGTGGTCTGTTGGCTGCTGGGGATGTTCCTCCATTTCCATTTGTAGTGCAAGCACACCAGCTGATCAGGGAAGAGGAGTGGAGCATTTATTCACACACACACACACACACACACACACACACACACACACACACACACACACACACACACACACACACACACACACACACACACACACACACACACACACACACGTTAATGAAAGCTTGTCTTCAGGGGAATACAGCTTGTCAGTGCTGAGCCGCAGTAGCAGCTTAAGGGAGTCTAAGGCAGAGGCTTCATTAGCAGCAGATTTTATAGGCCACCTACACTGATGGAATGGGGAGGGGGGGCAAAGATGAATCTGCATCCCTCTGTCCATCCTTCTACACCCGTTTGTTTATTTATTTCTTTGTTTGTTTTGTTATTTTTCTTTCTTGAGCCGTTATTCGTTATCTTTTTTGTTCGGCAAGGACTCTTCCAGTGTTAACAAGGGTGTCCTTTCCATGCACTCTCCCTTTTTAAGTTGTTTGGTAATGATATTGTTTGTCTGTGTATGTTGGGACTCAGTGCTATTGTTCGGCAAATATCATACACACTTTCCTCATTCTTTTCACACAATTTACAGGTCATCCTACATTCCAGTGTTTATAAAGTTATAATCATGAATAAGCATTTATATTTTTCGGAAGCTGAAAATCTTAAGGAAATACTATTTCCCCTTTAAGAAGATTTGTTTCATTATTGGCAGATCAGGATAAGCTGATTTCTATCCGTTTACATCATATGTAATGAGTCCCCATTGCCAAGTGCTAATCTCCCATCTTATTCTACTCATTACTGGCAGGAGAGAATTACATCATTCCATATATACACATGCTTACACACATTATTTAGGACTGTAGTATTTGAAAGGGGCATTGCATTGCATTGTGTGCACAAGAGAAGTAAAAATATCACCTTTCCGTGGCTCTGTGAATTATAGTTACACAATGCAGTCACAAACAGTGTCTTGCTTTTAGCAGAGACTGTATTGTTATTGCATGCTTCTTCTTGTTTATGCTGACTTTTGTGAGTTTACAAGAATTTAAGCCAAACTTAAAGGTATGCTGTGAAGTTTTTTTAAGTTAATGTATGTTGCGAGAGGTAAACTAACTAAACTTCATCAGTATCTTTGATATCTGTTGTCATGTGTTTTTTCAGCTTCATTCAATAAATCAGTCCAGAATCTTTTCCTCCTTGTATGTAAAGTAGTTTCAAACAATGGATCACATGACTATTGTCCGCGAAAGGTTTATTTGTAGTGCGTGTACTCACGCATTTAATTTAATCTAACTGCAGTTCGGAGCATGTTAGCTTCTTTCAGTTGATTGTTTTGGCCTGCAATTGTTTCATCTGTTGGCGTCTGGTTTTGGTTCACACCATTTGATATGATTCCATGTTTGTTTAGTATACATGTTGTTTTAATCCACAATGTTCTGGTTTGTGCCACATACCTTCTAGCTGAATTATATTAAGGGAGGATTAACACAAACCATCCTATATTGTGCCTTCATCTGATTTTACATGTTTTTCTCATATTGGGTATAAATCCTCTGGGAATGCATTATTGCAACACACACACACACACACACACACACACACACACACACACACACACACACACACACACACACACACACACACACACACACACACACACAGAGGAATGAATGGGAATGATCTGGACAAGCCTGGAGCAGAGTCAGGGGTAAACATGTGGGGATTAATAAAAGTCCTTCTTGATGTGAGCCTCAGTGGACTCCATCACCTGTTTTCTTTCTTAGATTATACCTACTGACTGACACATTTGCTTGCTGAGGTGTACATGCAAACTGTACTTCCAGAAGAATTTGGAAAACAAAATAAAGAGAGTAGAATTTTTTTACCAGGTTGTCACTGCTGGCGGGGCCTAATCTGTCCTGGACTAAGCCTGTATATCAGGGTTTATAATCCATCTAGCAAGTAGATTCATCAGCACAAAGGTTTAAAACAATTTCTCTTGCCTGTCCGAGGCCAAGTGTGTGTTTTTCTTTTCAAAGAAGGGCATCGGAGGGGGGGTGGGGGGCAGAGGGAATGTACTGGTATATTATGTAAACCTTGGCCAGATGTTTTTATTTTTCTCTGCAATATTTCTTGATATATTTATCAGTTTTGTTTTGTGTATTTCTTTTTGTTGGTCTATTCTTAGATACTATTCGTTGCGTATACTATTCACATGTTGCAAATACAAAGTTTCATAATTTGAGATAGCAAATGGAATAAATGGATTATATCTACATGGTAATTCTCAATCAGGTTTAATTGTACTAGGAATGTGGATAAAAATACATTATTAATTGAATGAAACGTTTCTCCAATGTTTAGTTTAAAATTAAAACAACAATGAGTTAGTAATACGTTTGATTTGGGACATTACGTTATACATCAAAAAAGCATTTTGAGGTAATGTGTGAAATTGTTTCAATTTTTTCCATACAACTCTTTTTCTAAAGGTTGCCCCTAACTGTTCAAAGACTTCCATTAATGTCCCAAATATTTATTTATTTCTAACACGTTTATCTTCTGCTTTTAGATCCAGAGTTTACTGGAGCTGGGGAACTGCCAGCTCTGCCATGTAAGGATTTTACTTGTATTATTAAGTCACAACATAATTAGAGCTTTAATAGACACTGCTTACTATAAGTTCATACAAATGCATACATTTTTTGTGATTGAGTCCTTATTTTTGAGGCCTTAAAACTAACATTACTTTAAATATTGTATTCCACAGTTTGTGAGTTTGAGCTGAGCGGTCCAGAAGGCTTTGTAGAATCAGGCCAGATAGCCGGGGAGAGCCGAGCGCTGCAGACTGAGGCTGTAGACTGCAGGTGGTTCATCAAGGCTCCACCAAGAGCTAGGGTCCGTATCTGTCTTGAACTGTTTTGGTCTTGCTATGTGGTGGTGCTGGTGATGGTGTTGCTGGAACATGTCATTTCTTGATAACCCTTATTTGTTTACAACATTTAACTTTTCCATTTAGTTTTAGCCCTTAACCTAGTTTTTATTTGCGTAAGTGTTAGTATAAGCCACGAAGCGAAGGATTTCGAGATGAACTAGATGAACGTAATAGATTAAATGTCGATTGGCCGTTGTTAAAATGTCTTATATTTCTTTAAAATCAGTCCATCATCAAAGCTTTTGCTAGAAATGTGGAAAAACAAATTATGAGGGATAACCCAGCTAGAAATGTTTTGTTCTAAAAACATTCTGAGAATGTTACCATTCACTGTTCTATGAATGTTTTCTTTTGGTTCCCAGAATTTTCTTCTGAAAGGTAGGATAACGTTCTCTAAAAACATTCTTAAAATGTTTGGTGATAACCTTCTTAAAATGTTTTTGTTAACATTGTTAGAACATTATGCCGGACTGTTCTTGTTTTTATAAAACATTTTATAAAAACAAGAACAGTCCGGCATAATGTTCTAACAATGTTAACAAAAACATTTTAAGAAGGTTATCACCAAACATTTTAAGAATGTTTTTAGAGAANATAAAAAACACAGTTTGAAATGGGGGGAGTGATTTAGTCAAATATTGCCATTAAAATAAAAATAAAAGAAGATGCAAGACTAGCGTAAGGATAAAAATGATAGGAGAGAGGAGTTTTATCAAATATTTGTTAATTGGGTGGTGAGCATAGTCTAATGTGTTGTTGTTGTTTATTGCAAATATATACACTTCTGTTTCATTATGAGTGTTGAGATGCTTTATCCGATAAATCTTCTTTAATGTAGCCCAAAAGTGCCAGCCAGATGATGCAATTTAAACCTCATTTTAGAAAAAACTCTTCCCCGGTACATGCCCGGACCCCAGACTATGAGGATGTGAGGTTCATACAAATAAAAACAGCGTTTCACATGGATTAGGCATACTTAGATAAGTGGGCACACTCATTATACACATTTTTCTGGATTTTCGGTTAACACCATTGTGGTCCCTAATATATTCGTAGAAAGGGCAGGAAAATTGAATTAAATTGAGAACATTTTTCATTGCGGAGGACCCCCTGTTTTGTGTCCCCCCCACTTCTCAAACCAAAGTTACACCCTTGCACAAACACACTCGCTTTCTTCCTGTCACACACTCAGAGTCAGTGATCCTTACTGTGCAATCAAATTCATCTCTCTTCTACAGATTGACAGTTTGATTTATAGTGTTTTTGTTTTGTGGCATTTTGAAGAATAATAGGAAACACTCAGTTATTACCTTATATGGCTTTATTCCACACCAACAATGGCGCCATCATATTGAAACCGCATGCCTGTGTTATTTAGAACAGCGCTCAGCATATTTTATATCAACAGTGTATCCTAACAATAGCGAGAATGACTGCTTTTAAGATCCTCCAAATGTACTGTTGGCCTTTGTGTTAACAAGGTAAAACAAATATCTAGATTGAATAGAAGAAGAGAAAACATAACATTTAGCTGAGATGCAATGTGTTTGTTTTTTAAGCACAAGATTAAACATAATAAATCACAAAAACTATAACAAAAATACAAATGAACAAATGAAGTCTTGTGAAGATTCAAATTGGCTCTGCTACCACAATAAATATTTATTTAGGTGTCAGTATTAATAATAAAGTAGAACAATATTGAATAATATAACTATGAAGAAGGTGTGTGTTGTATAATTATTTTTGTTGATACTTTATGAGAACACTGAATGAGTTTTTCCTGAAGTGCTATTGTTAACACAGGACTTTCACTTGGAAGTTTTGAGCTGCTATATTCCTACTGGGATCTGTATATTTCACTAGTGATTTTGCCATCCAAAATTCCCATGAAATCCCCTTACCCAGCTAGCGGGGAACGTTCTCACAACTTTGGCTAACGTTACCTACAGGTTCTAATAATGTTTTAAAGAAACGTTTTAATCTGATGTTCAAAGAACCTTTTTAGGATGTTTATTATTTCAAATAATGTTCCTATAAGGTTTAAGGTTAACTAAGACATAAAGTTTTAACTGCAACATTCAGAGGATGTTTTGAGGATGTTATTAAGGCCTGAGATGACAGAAAGTTTTTTTATAAAACATTCCTTTAATGTGATATGTTGACAAAGGTGGAACGTTTTGCCTGCAACATTCTAAGGATGTGTTTTGGACGTTGTTGGAGTAACACATTAAAGATGTTCTTTATAAAACGTTCCCTCAATGTTACATGATAACAAATGAAGAACATTTTCAAAGCAACATTCGGATGATGTTTTCAGGAGGTTATTCTTTTTTATAAACACGTTCCTGTGATGGCAAATATTAACACGGTCATGGTCAACGTCAGATTTATTTCTAGTGAACTTTAAAAAAGAAAGTTGTTGCATTTGTTTGAAAAGGATGTTTTAAAAAATCTGATGTCACCATATTTTCCTTTTGAAAAAAACAAACAAGTACTTAATTCATGATAAGCTGTAAACTGATATTGCATGTTTGCGGTGGCATGTGTGAGTTCCCAGCTAGACATTTTTGATTCTCAAAAGATTCTGAGAATGTTACCATTCATTGTTCTAGGAATGTTTTCAGCGGGAAATTTTTGTTTGGTTCCCAGAATGTTCTTCTGAAAGGTAGGATAACGTTCTTTAAAAACATTCTTGAAATGTTTGGTGATAACCTTCTTAAGATGTTTTTGATAACATTGTTAGAACATTATGCCCTACTATTCTTAAAAGGTTTTTAGCGGGATGTTTTATTTTGGTTACCAGAATGTTCTTCTGAAAGGTAGGATAACGTTCTCTAAAAACATTCTTAACATTTTTGGTGATAACTTTCTTAAGATGTATGATCGCATTGAGACAATGAATAGGAAGTATAAAAACGAATTTGCATGCCAATATTCACTCACATGCACTTACAATCACACTAAAGGTATGTAGGCCCACAGTATTCATAATATCATATGTGTAAAACATCAGAAAATAATCACACTTTTTTTCTGACTATAAAGGTTGTGTCTCGTATGTACGTTCTAACTGTTGGATAAGCTATCTGGCCGTGTGTGGTTTGGGAGGGCTGCGCATAAATATTGTCCGCTGTTTATGAATAGTGGAGACAAATTGTTATTGCACCCTTTAGATTTGAGACCGACAGACATATAGAAGAACGGACCGACTGTGCCGTGCGTCGTTTGCAAAGTGCCCGCCGTTTTTAGCTCGCCTGTGCCCTTTACTCACCCCGTCACCGCACGTCGGAAGTATCAACACCGACGTACTCTGCTCTCAACGTCCACACCAACTAACCTCTAACCGAGGGTCGCACCGTCTCCGTCTGGTCAGTCCGTCCCCCCCCCCAATGTTTGTGATTGTCCCAAAAGTCACCCT